GGGCCATGTCTTCAAGAGTGTTAAACCATTGGCACTCCTCATCTTTGGGCCCCCATCCTGAAGACGTACGGGTCCAACAGCCGCTAGACACGACGTCAGCGATTTCATGTGCTGCCGCCATGTAGAAGGCTGACCACCACGCGGTCGTCTCCAGCCAGATCCATGATCAGCGAATAGAGCGCGACGCGGTAGGCGCTCAGGTGCCATGCGTAAGACGTGACCGAGCCACCTCAACTGGCGCAACAAAACCAGTTTGTTGCAGGAAATACTCGCATTCCTCAGAATGCGATGTCGAACATCATTATTATTAACTCGATGTCACTACCAAACACGAGCAATTCTCCTCAAGTAACCGTTATCGAAGGCAGAAAGACGACGCATGTCTTCCACGCGAATCGGCCAGGACTCGCACCCATACAACAATACTGAGCGAACTGATGCACTGTAAACGCCGCAATCTACTGAGAATGAGACGTCGCGACGACACCACAAGTGCCTGAGATTGACAAATGCTGATCGAGCTTCAGCGATGCGAAGATAAACTACTTGGTTAATAGTGCCGTCAGCAGAAATGCAGCTCCCAAGGTAGACGAAAGTATCTACCCGTTCAAGCTGTGCACCTTCGAGAGTGAGCACGGGAGTAGGTGAAAGCCAATCCTTGAGCAGTACTTTACACTTCGATGGGGCAAGCTCGTGCCATACTTAGATGCTTCAACCGCCAAAGGATTCGGAATGAGTTGCATACCCTGAGGATAATCACCAAGTAAGGCGGTATCATCAGCATAACCTGTCGGTCGTGCGCTCACCCGGTAGAAGCTCTAAGCCAAAAATGTTGGAAACCTTCTAGAGCATTTGACAGATCGTCTTTTATTGCGAAGTTGAAGAGGAATGGGGACATAGGGCAGCCCCGTCGCACACCGTTAACTGACAGCGAAATGCGAGGAAAGCTTGCCATAGACCCTCACTCTGCCGGATGCATGAAAGTCTAGTGCTCGTAAGACGACTGCATATTTCTCTTGCACCCCGTTTTTCAGGAAGCAACGCCATAAAGCAGGTCGACCAACGGAGTCAAAAGCGGCACGTATGTCTAGGAATGCAACGATAGTGAGTCTGTGATAAATGTGGCAATGTTTGAAGAGCTGGTGGAGCGTGAAGGTTTGATTCATGCATCCGCGGCCGGGACGGAAACCAGCTTGTTCTTCACGGTAGTATGATTTACGTACTGGGGATAGTTTGCGAAGTAGAATGGATGCCAATAGCTTAGAAGCAACCGAAATAAGACTGATACTGCGATGATTTGCACATGAAGTGCGAGCGCCTTTCTTGAAAATCGGGGCAATAACTGATTCGCCCCAAAAGGAAGGAACTTTCTCTTTATGCCAGATTTTTGCGAACAGCGCAGTCAGCTGGTTATTGATCGCCACACCAACGTATTTGAACAACTCCGGAGAAAGTCCGTCTGAGCCGGCAGCCTTGAACCGCTTTAAGGGTGGAATCTCGAGGCCGACTTTCGCTGCGCTGGGTGGATTCAGTGGGATGAGCCAGGATGGACAACAAGGTGTATTGCATGTACTGATGGATGGTGGAGGCCAGTTGAACTGCGAGTGAAAGTGTTCGGCCCAGCGGTCTATACACCTCTGTTAGTTGGTAATCGGAGACTCATGCAGCTCACAAATGATCTCACTGACACCAGGCTTCCTGAGACCAATGGACCGAATGAGTTGGAAAAGCTTACGAGTGTTGCCAGAGGACAGCGGTCTCCATTTCTAAAGCACGCTCAGACCACCATGCCTCGCGATGCTTGCGTAGGCTTTGTTTGGGCAGCCGGTTGCCAGAACGGCGCCGCTTGTTGCAATCTGGTTCCGCCGGGATAACTTTGTGACGTTCTAACAGCTCCAGAGAACGAGCAGATCCAAGGCTTTAGGGGGTGTCGAGTTAGGCCGCATATTGACTGTCCGGAAATGGTCATCGCTTTCCGTACACAAGTCCAGTGTTGCTCCACGTCCTGTGGTGGATTGCAACTGAGTGCATATGCCAGTGAAGACTGATAGCTCGTCTGGACAGAGGAATCAGTTAATCTGTTCACATCAATCTTGCGGTGCTTCGTGTTTCGAGATCCTCCAAAACACATACATTTTCGCGCAGAGCAGTGCACGATCCGAGTCAACAAAGGTGAACCAAAAGGACCTGCAGTCCAGTACGCTGCCGCGCCGTCTGAAGCTAATTGAAATGTGATCAATTTGAGACCACGGATGTGTTGGCAAAGGGGGACACCACGTTGCGGAACGTTTCTTTGTACACCTGAAGTTAGTGCTCGAGAGAAACAGATGGTTGTCTTCGCACAATGTGAGAAGCCTGTCTCCGTTATCAGAGCGGTTCTCGTCGAGCGCGCGATGACCACCAAGGTGGTGTTCGTATGGTAACAGGCGGCCAACCCGTGCAGTAAAAATCCCCAGCAAGGACAACGACATCCGACTTTTAGCATTAGTCAAGAGCTCATGTAGATCCCAGTAGAATTCGTCCTTGACCAAGTCGCCACTGCAGTCAGTTGGAGTGTACACGGAGATAACAAACAAGTTGCGTTTCTCTTCGCGGCGCTTGTTGATTCTACATGAACCCCGAAGCCGAACTGCACAGTCAGTTGTTAATCCGGAACCAGTCCAGTAGTGCAGTCTCGGCCTTTCCAGTATACCTACACCGCTATACCTACACCAGCCAAACCCGCTGAGGCTGCTTCTGGATCTCCAGAAAGACGCAGGTGATATCTGGCTTCGTGGTCAGTGGGGGATGTCAATGTAAGCCCAGTGCTGGGATCTTGCAATCGGGTTTCTGAAAGGCAGCAGACATCAATCTCTGAGGAATCTAGGGTGCGCGCTAGACCGGCTTGCTGTCCAATCTGTATGAGTGTCCGAACATTGAAGCACGCCAGACGGAACGAGGATCGGGGACGAAGTAGAGCCATAGGTTGAACTCCTTGGTCTGCGGCGCAACCGGAATCGCAGCCAGATTGTTGAACACATGAATCGGGTAACGGAAAGTGAGGATTGTTAGCAAACAAACAATTGGCGTGTGATGAAGTCGCGTGAAAGTGACTAGCAGAAACAGTAGCTGATGAGCATGTTGTAATACAGTCCATGGTTTTGCGAGAGGGCGTGATACTACCCGGTTTCCCAAGACTTAGTATTGGGTTGACTTAGGGGACTCCACCCCGAGCCTTTGGCTAAATAAACTACCCGCAAGACTGCGGGGCGAATTTAGGGAATCGCGCCCATTGGGAGGCTTTGACTGAATGATCAGTTCATGCGTCTTTGTTTGGTAGGTCACAAAACAGGGGCCCAATACTCTCCATGAAGTCAACACAATTGCTGGAATGCAATGCCCAACGGAGGTGGAACATTGTTGCCAAACACTGCTGGAACGGGGTACACCCGAACCATCCAGCTGGCACCACGAGGTAGTTCGGCAAGCCAGATACAGTCCACTACATGGACCGATCCATTCCTGCAGCGGAAGTGCACAAGACAGTTGTTCAAACTGTTTAAGTTGGTTTCTAAGCATCTTTCAGAAGTGCTCCAGCGTTTTATGGCAATAACAAGAAGGAGAAGTTTGTGGAAATGTAAGCAGTACTGTACCAAAACGTTCGAGTGAAGTAATACGGCCATTCATACATGGCAAGTGCGCAAACTAATACAAGTAATTCACTATAGTTTGTTGATTGAATAAACTGAAATGCCCATTGTCACCTCTCATTCACCTACGTGCCTCACAATTACGCACACCCCACATTGCTTGTGGTACACCGAAGGGAGGAATGGTCAAAGGCCAAAACATGCCTTACACCAACAGCCTGAAGGGAACATGATGCACTGAGGCGGATGAGAACGGATTCACTGTGATCCTGTACACACGACCTTTACAACTAAGCGCAATTCTACATGGTTTCATAGATATCGTAATTTGATAATACTGATAGCTCTAGTTTTGCAATGCGTGTGACAGTTTCGTTAACCAAATATCCATCGTTAAGATAAAAGCCAAGACACGCAAACTGACAATCGTTCTTCACTTCTTCGTCGTCAACTTGTTCCCTTGTGTATCGCCACAGCTGAGGACTCTGGGCTTAGTTATGCCTTCGGACGTACTTTATTTGGATTGATTTACTCATAGATGGGCCGTCATGCGAAATAATTGATCATCTTATCCCGTGACTCCTGGTTCTATCTCCCCGGATTTACACTTCGTATACGTGGCTAACAGAGTGCAAGCCTATTTGAGTGGAGGATTAGACACACCTCACTTCTGCTTGGGGAAGGGTTACTACCAACCTACCCGGTAGTTCATCATCCTAAATTATGTTGGACGAAGAAGTCATTCTTCCATGTTCTACACTCCAGGTCGGCCGTGACACATGTAAGCTTCGCACATCTTACATTGGCTGAAGTACGATCCTCCTATAGTTTAAACTATGAGAGTGAGTGTCTCCAGATGGCTAGCGTGGAAACACTGTTGTACCAATGTACTAAGGGCTTTTCCCAATTCATAACAGAAAGACTGGCCGCGCAACTTGGGATTTACTAACCAGGTGGAAACTGGGATTTCGATTCAACACTTCACGACACCACCTTTCCTTTACTAACTAGTAAGTAGATTTAATCTGAGGTAGCTAAGAGTACCTCTGTATTTTAAGTTGCCTCTGGCTAGCCGGTTTTCACCTGCGCAGTGTATCGATTGGACATAAAATGAAGAATAGCGGCGCAACTTTCATAGCAAAGTCCGAACTAAACTATCCTCCTCCAACGCAGACAGATTGTCTTCCTGTATCAGTTGGAAACTTATTTTTCGCTTTAAATAGGAATACGGAAAGCTCTTTTGTCCACCATCCAATGTGCTTGTTTGGGTGTTGTTCGTGAGACCTTCATGTTCAATTCGTAACATATTATTCTATCCCTCATAGCCCACTCTCTGCTATCTATTAGGAAGCTGCACAGCTGCTGTTCGAAACATTTTCCGCTGCTCAAGATCTGATTGTCAAGTGCACGACCGGCCTTACCACACTATGCGTTGCTTTAATACTCCCAGTGATGGAAGATTCGCAACCAAGTCCCACATCAAGCACATCTGGCTCCCGTTCCCCCACCTCTTCCACAAGCTCTTTGCATCCGCGTCAGTTCGCCCTCATTGTGGCTAGCGTTGGTGATTCGCAGGCCTTTCTACTCAGCAAATTTCACGGAATTCGTGAGTTGACTGGGTGGATGCCCCGGAGTACTGCCAGTCCCGATAGTTGCACTTTTCCGGAGGATAAAACCAAAGCCTCCAGTCCACTTCCTTCATCCCCGCCTGCAAGAGATTTTCGCGATTGCGGTGGTGCATTGGGTTCCGTGTATGCGGACAACAGCCCGGAGTTGAACAATCTCATATGCGCAGGTGGGTTCGAACGGTAGCATTGGCAATCCTGTCTGGGTAATCTAACCATACAGTTTTCAATTAAGTCGCTTCATCCTTATTTTCATATGGCTTTTCACATTATGGTATATTTTTACTTAGTAGGTACATCTTTCTGCTTTAACGTGGTTAACCACAACAAAGTGGACTGTTCTATACAGTGCTTGTCTCTTATTGTTTCCGCTTCTCAAACTCATACGACACCATCACATGCCAATTGTTCGTACGTTAACAATGCTTGTTACCTGATTCCTTTGTTCATGGATCTGCTGGCGATTTTCGTTGCACCGCGAACCATAGAGTTCAACCCGTGGCTCTCCTTCAATCCTGATCCTAGTTCCGTCTGGCTTGCTTCAACTTACGGATACTCATGTAGATTAGACAATAATCCAGTCTTGCGCGCACTATGAAGTTCCTCGATGTTGACATCTGTTACCTATTGGAAACCCGATGCAGTTTGCTTACGCTGATACCCCCCACTAATCACGAAGTTAGGTGTAACCCATAAGAGCCTTAACGGCTTTGGCTGGTGTAGGTATAGCACTAAGTGGCAAGGCCGAGGCCGAGTAACAGCCGACTGTGTGCCGTTCGGCTTCGGGTTTCGTGTAGAATCAGCAGGCGCTGCGAGAAGAGACGCAACTTGTTTGTGATCTCCGCGTACACTGACTGTTTACATTAGTGGCTCGATCAAGGACGACTTTTATCGGGAGTTTCAGCAACTTTTGAGTAATGCTAAGAAATCGTATATCGTTACCCTCGCTGAGGATTTCAATGCACGAGTTGGCCGCCTTTTACCATACGAACGCCACCTTGGTGGTCAGCACGCTGTCGATGGGAACCGCTCTGATAACGGAGAGAGACTTCTCACATTGTGTGAAGAAAAACCATCTGTTTCTTTCGAGCAAAAACTTCAGGCATACGAAGAAGCGTCCCGCAACTTGGCGCCCTACTTTTGCCAATACAAGCGGGGTCTCAAATTGATCAAATCGCAAGTAGCTTCAGATGGCGGGCAGCAAAAGGGATTACATGTCCTTTTGGTCCACCTTCGCTGGCTCAAATCTTGCGCTGTTCTGCGTAAAAATCTGTATGTGTTTTGAGAGGTCCCCAACAGCGAAGCACCGCATTATTGCTGCGAACAAATCAATTGATTTCTCTCTCCAGACGAGCTGCCAGTCTTCACTGGCATAAGCATTCAGTTGCAATAAACCGCAAGACATAGAGCAACATTGGACTTGTGTACAGAAGGCGCTAAACACTTCCGGACGGTCAAGCTGCAGCCTTACTGGACGGCTCTTAAAGGCTTGGATCTTTGCTCGCTCGCTGGAGCTGTTAGACTGCGGCAGAGATATCCCGGTAGAATCAGATAACAACGAATGGCGCTGATCTGCCAATCGGTAGTTCAAACAAAGCCTACACAAGAATCACAAGGCTTTATGGAGATGCAGACCGCTGTCCTCTCTGGCAATACTCGCAAGCTTCTCCAACTCATTCGGTCCACTGGCCTCAGGGGGGTCTGATGTAAGTGAAGCTATTTGCGAGGCTGATGGGTCACCGATCACCAACCAACAGAGGCGTTTGGACCTTTGGACCGAGCTATTTCACTCGCAGATCAACTGGCCTCAACCGTCCATCCATGCACATAGTACACCCTGTTGCCTACCTTGGTTCGTTCAACTGAATCCATCCACCAAAGTGGAGGTTGGCCTCGAGATCCGACGCTTGAAGCGATCCATGGCTACCGGCTCAGGCGGTGGCGTGGCAATCCCTAACCGGCTGCCTTCGTTGTTCACAAAAATCTGGCACGAATGAAAATTGTCTTCCGCATGGGGCGAATCAGTTATCGTCCCGCTTTTCAACAAAGACCCCTCGCACTTCATGTGTAAACAATCGAGATACTAGTCGCACTTTGGTCACCTCCAAGCTATTAGAATCTATTCTGCTTCGTTGACTATTCCAATAAGTGAATCCTACCACCGTAAAGAACAAGCTGCTTTCCCTTCCGGTCGTGGATGCGTGGATTAAATTTTCACACTCAGCCAACATCTCGAACACCACCACAGTTACCACAGGCCCACTATCGTTGCATTCCTAAACACACAGACCGCAGTTGACTCCTTTGATCGACCTGCTTTATGGCGTTGCTTGTTGAATAACAGGGTGCCAGTGACATATCGCCATCTTATGTGCACTTTGCCTCCATAGCTCCAGCAGAGTGAGGGTCTACGGTAAGCTTTCCTCGCTCTTCGCTGTCAACTGCGATGTGCAACAGGGCTGTCCTATTTCTCCTTAATTTTGTAATCGAATACATCCTGTCAAGAGCTCTAGAAAGTTTCCAAAAATTTGTCCTAGTACTTCTACCGAGTGAGCGCGCGACCGACTTAGATTATGCTGATGATATTGCCTTACTTGGTGACGATCCACAAAGTATGCAATACATTCATAATCGTATAGGTAGAAATTCGTCACATCTAGACTCACTCAGACGGCCGTCACACGCCCGGAAAAAGCACTGTACGCGCGTTTCATCCTTTCGGGAATCGTCAGCAGTGCGCATTCCATCGGACCCCTGGTAGGGCTCGAACCCGCAACTCGACTGTTATCAGTCTATGATTGAGACCACTGAGCTACGGGGGACCGCAACGACCATCGTGAATTAGTTACTAGATGTGATATAGCGCCGCTCACTATCCACAGATTTACACATTACACTCCGTGCAGAGGACAGGGTAGCCCCCTCACCAAGCGACGAGATTACCAGACTTAAGCCGCCAATTATCTTATAGCATTATAAGCAGTTTGGTCTGCGTACTGATTACAGAAGAGTAGTAGGGGAGTTGAATGGTATAGGTAGAAATTCGTCACATCTAGACGGTTTCCGAAAGGATGAAACGCGCGTACAGTACTTTTCCGGGCGTGTGACGGCTGTCTGAGTGAGTCTAGATGTGACGAATTTCTACTTATACCATTCAGCTCCCCCTACTACTCCTCTGTAACCTTCAGGATGGTTTGGCGGCTGAAGCATCTAAGCACAGCATGAGTTTCGCCTCCTCGAACTGTAAAGTGCTGTTCCAGGATTGGCGTATACCAGCTCTCGTGCTCATCCTTGTAGGTGCAGAACTTGAATAGGTAAATAGTCTCGTCTACCTTGGCGGCTGCACTTTTGCTGGCGGCACTTTCAGCAATGAAGTTTCTTTTCCACATCGCCAAGACCCGATCAGCAGTTGTCAATCTGAGGCAATTGTGAAGTCGTTGTGACGTCTCATTCTCATAAAGAACCACATTTACAGTGCCTCTGTTCGTTCAGTCTTGTTGTATGGGACGAGTCCTAGCCAATTCGCCTGGGACACAAGCGTCGCCTTTCTGTCTTCGACAAGGGTTTTCTGAGTTGGATCGCTCATGTGCGGTGATAACACTGAGTTCACAGTGATGACGTTCGACGTCGCGTCTTGAGGAATGCGAGTATTCGCTTCAACAAACTGCTTTTGTTTTGCCATTTGAGATGGATCAATGATGTCCTACGTATGGCGCCTGAGCGTTTATCACGTCGAGCTCTATTCGCTCGTCAAGGACCGGGCTGAATGAGACCGCTTGATGTAAAGCCTTTCACTTGCCGAGACAGCAATGTAATCGCTTACGTTGCGTCTAGCCGCCATTAGACCCGTGCATCTTCAGGATGGGGACTCAAGGATGAAAAGTGGCAGGGGCTTTACACGCTTGAAGCTATGAAGCGCAGCTGTAACTAATGGAAGAACTATATGTAGGATTGCACTGATTCACCTTTTTAATCCATAAAACAGTTAAAACAACAAAAAACGGCGTGTGAAAAGTACAATGTATAGTTGGCTATGTTTTGGATCAAATTATACTTCTTTTTGATTTCGATGGTTTTACAATGGCCCATGTCCCATTTTTGGACCGTTGCGATATATATATATATATATATATATATATATATATAGGATTAAGAAGGTGAATCAGTGCAATTCTTGGGTGCAAAATGTTGCTTGGTGGTCTGTTCCTCAATATGTTTGAAACTCGTCCGCAACCTGCACACAGGTGAGCGCATACTTCCCCTTCTCTGGACAATAGCGTATTATTTCATGCAAACATAAGGAGCGGGACACTGCGTTGCTGCTGCTGAGTTACAATGCTTTCTTGTGACTTAGAGTATACAAGTATCCCATTAGGTTCAGTTCATTCATGATCTCGTAACTGGGTCACAACAAGACAAAGCTTTGTTCGATTTCCCGGCAACGCTTCATCATGATGCTTTGGTCAAGTACATAAAGACCATCATGTGACAAG